ACATCAGCATACCATATGATGTTCCAAATCTGAAGAACATCATATTTCCTATAACCAATCATAATGAATACGACAATGATAACGCAGATGATAAGGATGGGTGTGGGTGTGGGTATTATCTGCAACCACCGGCACCTACACCCCACAGTCGCGCTCACACATCCACACACCCATCCACACCCACACCCACACCCTCTCTTAACAATAGTGATTAAAGCCATCTAGAGATCACCATCTTTGCAATAGACCATATTCGATCTATTCAATTAAAACGATGCACTTTCGACATATTTTTGGCACTTAATTGAATTAAAAATTGTAAATTATTATCTGGAAATTGTTTGAATAAGTGAGACATGGATTATTTAATAATTTGATATTAATATTCATCAATTGGTGTTTTACAAATCATATTCATTTCTTTTCATATACGTTCATCAAATGTTAGAAGAACAAAATGCTTTAGCAAATTCATTGATAAGTATATCTTCATCAGAATTTTCTGGAAGAGAAAAACTTTTTTGTAAAGCATTTCAACCAGCGTGAATACGACATTCATTTATTAATCGATCGACGTCGATGTTATACACCAAATGGAAGTAAAACAACATCGAAATAAATTTTCTTTTAGAAATAAATTAAATTCAGAGATTATATTTTACCTTCAAATCCAACTATAAAACCTCAATAATATTCTTAAAAAAAACGTGTCAATTATTTGGAAAATGTAGTAACCAGATCAGCAGCACAACTTTTTCCATATAATTCATAATAACAATGAACAACAGATTGAAGTGTTAAACCACGATGTGATTTATCAATTAAACTTGATAAAAGATGAGGATGACGAATAATAACATTTCTATCAGTCATTAAATCAATATTTGTTGCATTTAGTTTTGATGATCATGACTAAAGAAATTTTTTTCATTATTGTTTTGTTTTTTTTTGAATTTCTTACTTTCATTGAAAATTTTGATTGAATATCGAGATTAATTTGTGCTTATTCAGTTGTTTGAATATAAAGAAGAATTATTGAAATAATCTGAGGGAAAAAAATTCAATTAACAAAAATACTTGGTTTCCAGTTCAGAATTCTTTTTATTTACAAATACAAGGTGATAATAAATGAATTTTTCCAAGAGAATATGATCCAATAGCAATATATACAACTTGTTGATAATACGACTTAGAAAATCAATCAATAAAAAACATTTTCAAGTAAATCAAAATAATACTTTTCAAAAAAAACCGATTATGTTTTGTTCATGGTGAGTTACAACTCTTAAAACAAGCTCAAATCCTCTAAACCTGTCTTAAAATATTGTTGAAAACCATACAAATCACTTGGTATCTACTTGAAAGTTGAATACTTGAATTTAACTTTCTAGTTTGACATATATGAGGCATCTACTCTAAATACATTTGTTAAGAGAATGTTAGCTATGAAAAAAAGGAAATGTTTCTGTTGAATTGCGAAGTAACAAAAAAAACATATGGCATCATCTTGTGGCGTCCTCTTTCAGAAAAATTAAAACTTTCATTTTTGATATAAATCAAATTTCTCGTTTATTAAAATGAAATTTTTTCAGTTTTTAATATATAAAAATTTCCATATAATTTCTGGTCGGATCTCTCTAATGGACCATTTACCTTTGAGAGGGATCTGAAAACCCATCCGATGAATTTTTAGTTGATTTATTTTTTTTCAAAGTAGAAAACAAGATGGAGACAATCAATTATTATCCATCCACTACCACAATTGGAGGTCTTCTATTTAGTAATTATATATCTGAAGAAATTCGTTGTTTAAGTGTAAAAGAATTAACATCATCACAAGCAATTGATCGTCTTGGTGTACTAATATCTGATAGTCCATATGATTTAGCATTAGGACCCTTTGATAAAAAAAATGATCGTTGTTTTACTTGTGATCAAGGAATTTGTTGCTTGTTCAGGGCATCTTGGACATATATCACTTGTTTTACGTGTTTACAATCCCGTATTCTTTCTTCAATGTTGTTAATGTAAACCACAATAAATAAATTTTCTTCAATCTTTTTTTTTTAATATTTTTTTGAAATTTGCAAGGTTCTTCGTGGTTGTTGTCTTCATTGTCATATAATTTAATGTTCAAATGTAGAAAAATATTTATTTAATATGCAAATGCTTTATTTAAAACATGGTCAAACAAATGAAATAGATAATTTACAATCAATTTATAAAATATGGATATTAGAAAAAAGAAATCTTTAGATACATTTTATGAACAGATCAACGAACATATGAAATTAAATCCACCATCATCAACTAAAATAGAATCAACAACAGAAAAATTTATTAGCTATTCGACAACAGTTTATTAAAGATCTTGAAGCACGAGCATTTAAAACAAAAAGTTTGTATTTTTTTGATCATAAAAAATTTTTTCAATTAATATTTATTTTCGCAGAAAAATTTTGTCCGAATTGTAATACGCCTGTACGTGCACTTCGTGCAGATTCACATACAAAACTTTTTTATTCTCAAGGAGTTTCAAATAAACACATAAAAGTCTATCAAGAAAGCATGTCTAATGTTCGGTAAGTATTTAACGAATTTTTTTCAAATTCTAATACTATCCTTTACATAATCATGAAAATCGAACTATCTAGTATATTTAACAATCTATTAGTTCTAATAAAGAATAACGTGTAAAACAGATAAATGATCAAATATTGAAAGAAGTTAGGACAGCGACTTATCAGTTTTATTACTGATCTTTAGTTTAGTTATGCCTAGGAAACTTTATTTGTACAATTTTTTTTTGCTGTAATTACGTTCACTATATGATGCACTGGCTATTTTCGTTTTCACATATATGTTCTCTGATATTTGGTAGGTTCGCGTTTTAGCACTTTCCATTATTTCCCTTCTGTCTATTCTAAATTTTTACAATTTACAATGTAGCCGTTCCCTGTTGAGTAATGTAATCGAGTAGAACTATTACTAAGTTTACCTGTTTAGGTAAAAGAATCAAGAAAATAAGTTTTCGTTTCATTGTTGGCATATTAAAAAATAAACTTAACTATTATTTATTGAATACAGAACACTCTTTATGTCAAATTTGAAATATTTTCCTCAGCTCAACATACAATTCTGGACAACTGCATACTAAGCTGTTTTGCAGAGTACGAAATTAGAATTTTACATATCCAAAATTGCCTTTTCTTATCAGATAATTTCATCAATTCATTGAAAGTTTTTTCTCATAGATCTTCTTCTCGACATAATCACCATTGTCATAAAACTTCTCCTTGTTACAATATGTTTAGCAAACAATTAAATTAACGAGTTTCAGACGAAAGTGAAATAATTTTATTTGAAACTTTTAGGATACTTAAATAATCATTAACGGTGATAATGTTAGGAAAGGTTTACAGGAACCAAATCCTTTCTACTTCCTATAGTCCTAATTACTAGTAAGATATGAGCTTGAAAACTGTTTAATCAGTGTGTAAAATCGTCTGGTTAGTTTCAATTTTGGACACAATGAGATTGAGTAAGTTTCGTTGATTTCTAGTGATGATGCCATAGAGTCTTGAAGTCTTTACTGAAGCTTATATGCACGATAGTCTACTTGAATCTACACAACATAATACTACGTAGATATGAATGCGACATAAAATTCTTATTTCAATTGACGAATATTATTTCTTTTGATGATAGGTAATCAAAAAAAATGAATAATAATGATGAAGCAATAGATGATGATAATGATGATGAAGAAATGTTAACAGAAATGATGTCCAGTCAAATGTATTTAACACCATTAGATGTATTAAAACATTTCGAAAAAATTTGGACAAATGAAAAAGAAGTTCTCACAATTTATTTAGCTGCTTTACGATCACCACAACATTCAATAACGCATGTTCATAATAATCCAATAAGTTTATTCTTTTTTGAAGTTCTACCTGGTTTGCCATCAAAATTTCGTCCCGTATGTATTTAATCTTGTTTTTCGAAAAGAAAACTTAAAAAACAAAAAATTTATCTTCTTTAAGGTATTGTCATTTAATAATCAAAAATTTGAAAATCCAAAAAACGGTTCGATATTCAACAATTATTCAAGATAACTAGTTAATGAAGGAACTTTTATTAATGAAAGATAAACAAACCATAGACACATCAACATCAACAACTGTAATACATTTTGATTGATTAGCCTTTGCATTTTCTAATGTTTTTGTGAAACATGATCTAAAAGGAGTCTTGAAGTGCAGTAAAAGAAGTTTGAGAGATTGTCCCCCGTTTCCACTCATCTGATATATCTAATCATGAGATCTAACTGTGGGATTAGTATGATAGTTGTTCTTCACTTTTCTATCATATTCTAATACATTGTGATTGATATTTTCCATAATCGGCATGTACTATTAGTAGGTGGAATTCATAAATTGAAACATATATATTGATTAATGTTCCCTTGTACAGTAGCAACTAGCAGAATCACAGCATTTCACACTTTAATGGTATCGACATTGCATTAACAATTTTTTTTCTTTGGATTTAGAGTCGAACATCTTTAACTAATACTTTACGCGGTGCAACAAATGAAGAAAAACTTAATAATCTTTGGCTCAAAATGCAAATTACTGTTAATTCTATATTTGATAGTTCATTAGATAATCGAAGTGGTGCTCGAGTAGCCAAAGGTATTCGACAAGTATGTTAATGATTTATTCTTCTTGAAATTTAAAAAAATATTTTAATACTAATTCCATTTTTTAAAATAAAAGGGAATTGAGAAAAAAGAAGGTTTATTTCGTATGCATATGATGGGTAAACGAGTAAATTATGCTGGTCGATCAGTCATATCACCTGATCCATTTATTGCAATCTATGAAGTTGGAATACCGGGAAGTATTTTCGAAAAAATTAACTTATCCAGAATTAGTTACACCGTATAATGTTCATGAATTACGTCAATTAATTCTTAATGGACCAGATGTTCATCCTGGGTAAAAGAAAAACAAATTCTTTTTCGTTTTATGAATGTAGAACAAGAATATTTTATTGTTTTAGAGCAAATTTTGTTGAACTTGACGATGGAACAATACGTCGTTTATTACCAAATAATTTATCACAACGAACTGCTGTTAGTAAACTTTTATTAACAAGAGAAAAACAACATAGTAATACAGCATTAATGTCTACTAAAAGAGTTTATCGACATCTTCGAACTGGTAATTATGTTCTTGTTAATCGTCAACTAACATTACATCGACCAAGTATACAAGCTCATATGGTAAATTTATTTTGTATATTAAGCTTAAATGTTTTATTGCCTATTAGTTTTCTTTTTAACTGTTCCATTTTTTTTGAGAATTTGTGTCTTATTTCAATAGGGTTATATACACTTAATCTGTTAGTTTTGGATAACAAAGATCTTTTGTTTTGTCTTTGCTCGGGTTTAATTTGACATTAGTTGGTTGTTCAGTGAACAAATTATTCACTTTATTGTTTTTATTTTAATTATCAGAAAACGGAAAAAACACAAATAAATTATGTACGTTTTGCTCGTCATCGATGTTTAATTCGTTCATCTTTCCATAGTTTGTTATTGATAATCATTTCAAGTTCATTTGTTTGATATTTATCATTATCTTCATTTTGTTGTTGATCTTCTACATAGATATGTTTGTTAAACAATGGTGTTTATTCTATATATGACCCATGTAAATGAAATAAATATTTAAGTAATGGTGGTTGCCGATAGATGAATCCCAAGACTATCTGGTGTCATTACATCAAATATTACATATCGATCACGACTACATTGAACACTAGCCCAACCTAAAGTTAAGGCCATCGTCTAGCGAGTTTATATAAAAATCATGGAAAAAAAAGACAATGAATTGATGATACAAGACAGACTCTGAACAACAAAAATTCTGATCCTATTTATTCACACAGTATGTTGATTAAAGAGAATGGATATGGCTGAAAATCGAGAATGTTGAATGTGGATATTCCCCAAGAGAAAGTAGGGTGAAAATCGACCTCTGAATACATCGTTATGTCTAATATAAATCTAATAGAAAAGAAAAATCTCTACCTGCTCAAGACAAAACAATATCACCAGCGGCTTCTTCTTGTCCAGTGCCAAGAATTTCAATAGTTGGTCCACGAAGTTGATGTGGATCTTGAAGACGACCATTGATATGATTTTGTGGAGCCTTTACAAAATTTATCTTTTCTATTTATATATAAGAAAAAGGAATTCCTTACTCCAAATTGATTTTTTCCAAGAGTTTTCTCATAAAACTGCTCAAAATCTTTTGTTTCTATCACATTAATTGGTAAACGAGATGTTGTCATTAAAGAAAGATTTGCTCGAGCATCATGACTTATCTAAAAAAAATGACAATTACTAAACAAGAAAAGACACATATCATGAACTAACATGTTTAACATCAATTCTTCAATTCCACCGATCAATATCGTTTGTCCGCTATTTAATAAAATATTCATCGATCGAATAATAGTTGATTGATGATCGAAAAATAAAAGTTCTTTTTGATTACTACAATTATTAATCATCTTCAATAAAAAATAGATTATAATTTAATAGAAACAAAATATTTGTTTCGTACTTGTTCAGGTAAAATAACTCCAAGTGTATCATAAAGCTATTTTTCATCTTTATATGAATCAGGATTAAAAGCTCGCATTTTCTTTTGTCGATAATTTATATAATTATGTTCACTTGATTCAAATGAACGATCTTCATAAAAAGAATTTTCACCAGATGAATATGTATATGATACACCACTTTTTGATAAATTCATTTCAGATTCAAATCGACGAGGCCATTTTACTGTTGATTCAACATTTTCTAAACAATTTGTCGTTAATATTTTACTCCTTAGAAGGCAAAGAAGAAACATACGATCAATATTTGTTTCATTTTCAATTGAATTACTATTTTCATCAGGAACAATTTCATTTTCTTCGCGTTCTTTTAAACGTTCTTCACGCATAAATTGATTTTTTCCAGTTCGTAATTGGATTGGAAAACGAAGAACATTCATTATTGTACCTAAAATAATACAATAAAACTATAAGAAATTTCATAATAAATCTCTTACCAGGAAGATTTGATTGAGTTGCACGTTGAATACAATCAAGTGCATGAATATGAAAAAGATCAGAATCAATAAGACTATTAAATAAACTACTTTTTCCAACATTTGTACCACTAAGTAAATAAACACCACCTATATGCATTTATATTCAAATGAAAAAAGTCGAGACAAACCATGTTGTGTCCAATAACGAAATACTTTCAAAATAAGTTCTTCAATTTCATATCCAGTTCGAGCATTAATTAAACCATAATATTTAACAATATGTTTTCCTAAACCACGTTTTGTACATTCATTTTCCAGACGATTCTATGAAATTTCGACAATAAGAATTTCGCCATCGGGATTTCGGCAATGTCGAATATTCAGGTAGAATTTCAAAATTTTTCGAAATTCTACCGGCATTTCGACAATATTGTCGAAATTCTTACAGAATTATGATAATAACAATTATTAATCTATATTTTATTGTCCAATTTCTCTCGGAAATACGACAATATTCACATGAGACGAAGCCATGCTCAGTGAGTTAACTCTCAATTGATACGATATTAAATTCTTGAACAACTGTTACAAAATTACGCTCTTTACAAACACGCATTTTTGCCTTTTTTTGTTTACTTTTCGTGTGCTTTGACCTACATTGCATCACCTTTGATATTCTTGATTTTCTTTCATAAAACACGGATAAGATCATCATCATTCTTTTCGTCATCACATTGCTTCATCGTCCAATATCCTCGATTTTCCTTCTTAACGCACCTAGAAGATTATCATTAGCTTTAGGGCGCGGGTGGATGTGGATATGGTTGTGAGTATTAATCCCTAGCGAAACATTTTGTAAGCGAGATCTTAGATCTTGTACCTAAGATTCAAGATACAATGCATAGAAATGTGAGTAGATCTTGACAGACTTAGGTGCAAGATAATCACATTATCTTGTACCAAGATCTGTAAGTAGATTTTGAGTACAGATTTATATGATGCACTTAAGGTATAAAAATATGACATTTCTCTTTCAAGATATTAAAATCTGGCTCAAGATCTTGACTTAATAATAATACTAAACATAATTTTGCTACTGTTTGCAATGTGATTGTGCCAAGTTCTTCAAGAATAAGTGATGTGCATTCAAGGGTGTTCATTATGATGACGATTTCGAACAGTTTTCGAATTGACCATTAGTCACTAACTCAGTTTCTTGTGTTTGTAATAGAAACTTGGCTGCAGATTCCTATTCAGCGTGAAATTTTACATTGGAAAGGCTACATTAAAAGTATTCACAGTTATCCATGAATGAATTCTAGTGATTGTTTCAGACCATAGATATTTCAGCCAGGATCTTATAAATCTGTACCTAAGTTCTAATTACAGATCTTGGTGCAAGATAATCACATTATCTGGTACCTAGATTTGTAAGATCTACTCACTTTTCTGTACCTTGTATCTTGGTCAAGATCTTGCTTACAAAATGTTTCACTAAGGTTATCATCACACACCGACACCCGCATTCACATTCACACTAGTGACGTAACCAGGATCTTTGTGTATGCTGCATCTCAGTCACAAAGCATGGGACCGAGATGAAACTTATGGACGGCAATATTGGACTCAAATAATGAGGTTTTATGAAAAATTTTTGCAATTGAAGTTTGTGAAAAAAATTAGCATTTTCTTGATCCCAAACAAGATTGCAAAAAGTTTTTCATAAAACCTCATCATTTGAGTCCGATATCACCATCCATAAGTTTCATCTGGGTCCCATGCTTTGTAGCTGAGATATAGCACACACAAAACTCCTGGTTACGCCACTAATTTACAGCCACTCTCAAGCTAGTTTGCTGTATTTATTTTCTTTTCTTTATTTTGTTACTGATGTTAATTAAAGAAAATAAACTTACAATTAATTTATTATGTGACATCTAGTTCTTGCTATATATTTTCTTCATGTTAACTCTCAAACTAAGAAAACTGCATTTCTACCATACATTGCAGTTCCACTTGCCATGTATATTGTCGTATTTCGGAAAGAAATTGGACAACAAAATATACATTAATAATTGTTATTGTCATAATTCTGTAAGAATTTCGACAATATTGTCGAAATGCCGTAGAATTTCGAAAAATTTTGAAATTCTACCTGAATATTCGACATTGCCGAAATCCCGACGGCGAAATTCTTATTGTCGAAATTCCGTCTTACCTTCCAGACATTGACGAACATCAGACAAATAAGATTCACTGTCTAAAATACATTTGTTATCAGTTCGAACATATCCTTTATATAATCCTTTTCAAGTTTGAAAAAAATATTGCCAGTATATGGGTTATTCCTTATTTTTTATGAATCGGTGGAGTGAGTGCTAAGAAACTCGTGAGAAATGACGCTGAAGTCAATGATACATCTTTTGAACTAGTCGGTTTTTTTGCACACATATACAAAAAGTTTCCTAAACGCGATTTGTGTAAGAACAAACTATTTTTAATTCGAAAAAAAATCTACCTTTTGGTAATAAATCAACTTTATTGCCAAGAATAAATATAATATTTGCTGAACTATTATGATTATCTGTTATTTGATCAGCAAGATGTGTCTATGATCCACTAATTGAATTTGATATATCAAGAAGGTCAACAATTAATATAATTAAAGCACATTTTCGTTTTATTTCTGTTAAAATATCTTTATAAACTTGTTCATTAACCTCACAATGTGATATATCATTTGTATATTTATAAAGAAAACATCTTTGACATTGACTTGTTCGTTTTGGTAAATTTGTTAAAAGATAATGTTTATATATTTCAACTGGTATAAAACTTCTAGAATATTGATTAATAAATAAGTAAATGATTATATTTAAAAAAAGAATATCTTACGGTTTAGTTTTATCAGCACATTGAAGTGAAGCTCCACAACCAAAACAACGAGCTGTTTCATGAATTGGTATTGATGGATCTTCTGTTTCTAAATCCATATGAAAATGATTTTCTATTGATGGAAAAGCAACAATTGGAGGATGAGGTAAATCATTTTCATCTTCATTTGTTTCTAATATAAAATCATCTTTTGGTATTTGCCGAGAAGAGATTTTCAGCTCGACCAGTTGTTCTTGAATGTTGTTAAACAAGATATTGTTTATTTTGAGATAATTGACCACAAAACGAACAGCATACGATGGATCTTTAGAAAGAATCTGACGAACAACAGGTGAAAGATAATCTAATGAAACAGGTTTTGTTTTAGTGATGATATGATTTTTTATCAAATAAGGATGTTTGAGATGAACGACGAGTTGATCGAAAACGACGAGCATTAATTCCAATTGATATTGAACGCTGAACAAATGATATTTTTCGAATAGTTAACATTTTTCCAAAAAAAGAATTTTTTTTTTTGAATACTGGCTGAATCATTCAATGCCAATCAATGGTTCACATGATTATCTATTAAAAAGATTGACGTGTAAAACCAAACTTGATTTTTATTTTTAATATGTGTAAATAATAAAATAATACTTTAAAGTCTGATAGACATAGAAATTACCTATATGCAAAAATTGGATGAAAAGAGAGGTCGCTCAAGGTGTTAGAAATCATGGGCGGTTGCTCTGACGGTATGCAATGAAAATATTGAAGTGTTATTCTAAGTCGTATTTAATATTTTATTGATCCTAGAAGAATACATTTTTATCAAGTACAGATAAGAAAGTTTCTATATACGAATAGAATTGCTTTAAAAAACATATTGATAATGAAAAATATTCAGCAACAAACTTCCTCATTTTAATAACATTGATAAAGAGGCAACCGAATTTCGACATAGAATCGATATCTATTACCTATTTCAAATAAATATATTCAATAATACTGAATCAACGGTAAAATCACGTCGTCGATTTGAATTTGAAATGAATTTATGAAAAAGTGATCTATCATATACATATTGTTCTGGTGAAAATTCTTTTAACGAAGATCGTTCATTTGAATTAATTGTCGATAATCATACAAATTATCGACAAAAGAAAATGTGAGCTTTTAATCCTGACTCATATAAAAATGAAAAATGGCTTAATGATACACTTGGAGTTATTTTACCTGAACAAGTAAAAATAAAAATTTATATTTTTATTAAATTTTAATTTATTATTTTTTCTTCTTGAAGATGATTAATAAATGTAATAAGCAAAGAGAACTTTCATATTTCGGTCATCAATTAGCTGTTATTCAACTGGTGAATATTTTATTAGATATTGGACAAACAATATTAATTGGTGGAATTGTAAGATTTGATGTTAAACATGTTAGTTCGGAGGATTTCTTTTTGTTTTTTGTTGCATAGTAATTGTGATTTGTCTTAGATTAGTAATAATGCTCGAGCAAGTCTTTCTTTAATGACAACATCTCGTTTGCCAATTAATGTTATACAAACAAAAGACGTTGAACAATCTTATGAACAAGCTTTTGAAAAGAGTCGGTTCGGAGTGAGTAATCTTTCATGATATATATATATATATATATATATGAAAAGAAAAAAAACTAAATTTTTCCAAAGGTTTCTCAAAATCGTATCAATGGTCGACTTTAAGATTCACCTCAACGTGATGGATCTATAATTGAAATCTTGGGGTGTGGGTGTCGGTTCTAATTCTCGCTTTACTCACACCGACACCGACACCCCACATCCACACCCTCACCCCACACCCACACCTCACGTTTGGAACATGTTCCTAGGCGAATCTTGGTAGCTTTTACTGCATAAAATCCTGGATTTTTGTGGTGATACACTAGTATTTTTAAATTTTCTGGGACTCAGTTTGAGTTATGGAAAATCTGAACACGCTATCCGATAGAGCGCGTCAAGGTGTACTTGGAACACGAATGGAACACTTGGAACATGCTCCTGAGCGAATCTTACCAGCTTTTCGTAGCTGGATGCAAAATCGCCCATGGTGAAAATCTAGTATTTTCTGGTTTCCTTGGACTTGGTTTGAGCTATTGCGAATTGGAATACACCATTCGATAGAGCTCATCAAGTTGTACTTGGAATACCAGTGGAACATTTGGAACATACGCCTGGTCGAATCTTGGCCGGTCTTACTGTATAAAATCCAGGATTTTTGTGGTGATATATTAGTTTTATCAATTTTTCTCAGACTCGGTTTGAGTTCTGGAAAATCTGAGCACGCCATTCGATAGAGCGCGTCAAGTTGTACTTGAAGCACGAATGGAACACTTGGAACATGATCCTAGGCGAATCTTGCCAGCTTTTAGTAGATGGATAAAAAATCGCTGATAACGAAAATCTAGTATTTTCTTATTTTCTTGGACTTGGTCTGAGCTATTGGAAATCGGAATATACCATTCGATCGAGCTCATCAAGTTTTACTCGGAAGACCAATGGAACATTTGGAACATGTTCCGCGGCGAATCTTGGCTGGTTTTAATGCATAAAACTCCGGATCTTTGTAGTGATACACTAGTATTTTTAAATGTTCTCTGACTCAGTTTGAGTTATGGAAAATCTGAACACGCCATTTGATAGAGCGCGTCAAGTTGTACTTGGAACACGAATGAAACACTTGGAACATGCTCCTAGGTGAATCTTGGCAGGTTTTAGTTGATGGATGCAAAATCGCCCTTGGTGAAAATCTGGTATTTTCTGGTTTTCTTGGACTGAGTTTGAGCTATTGTGAATTGGAATACACCATTCGATAGAACTCATCGAGTTGTACTTGGAACACACCATGGGACATTTGGAACATGTTCCTGGGCGAATCTTGGCTGGATTTACTCAAATCTGGTGCTAAGTTCACCTACGTCTATTTGTTTAATGTCTTATTATTGCACTACCTGGACCTCAAATGTCAAGATATACACGAATATTTGATATATTTATTGGAAAAACATCTGATGGTGATAAAGTTGAAACATTCATCAGTGATGGTAAACAATCACCACTTCTATCAAAAAATGATGGTAGAAAAATTATTTGTATTTTTTTCTGTTATTAGACTTTTTAATTTTGGATTCTTGTTCAGCTATGTATCGTAGTCTTATTCATCAACAACAAATAACCATATTAAATCCTTCGATTTTATCTATATTATCAACAGTTGAATCTAAAGTTTATTCTTAACAAAACCTTAACGAAGACATATAGCTGCTAATGTTTTTAGATAAAAAATAACGACAGGTAAAAAAAAGTTAATTTCTTTGACCACAAGTGTAAATAACGACATTGTCTATTGGTTGACCACCAACATCACCGGCACTAGGTCGAGTATCACCAATACTGACAAGATCTAATGGAGCATCAGCATGAAAATCATCATCTACAACATAAGCTTCAATAGCACGTCGAACACCAGTACCATCATGATGAATACCTAAAATGAGAAAATGTTACATATATCAAAACTAAAATCAAAGTAGTTGAACATACCTCGTGCATTGATTACTTGAATAATTTTCATTCTCGTTTCGATTTCACCAAAGATAACCTAAAATAAAGAAGCAAGTTTAATGAATATTATAAATGATGTATATTTACCTGTGTCTTATTGTTATCGAAAATTGGCATTGGTCCTAAAAAATGAAGAATGATAATATGTCAGTTATTAATATTACTCGAAAAAGAAATTATTTACCTAAAGTAATTCCGAATCGCATTGTTTTGATATTCATACTGATAAGACCTTCGCGATTATGAGTTAAATCATTTATTTCTTTCTTAATTGTATGACGAATACTAGAAATATGAAGGCAAATACTGAAACAAAAATAATAAAAATATTTCACCGAGTTCCATCACGTGCAAACGCCATAACTTCTCCTCCTGGAACAAAAAATGAATGAAATGTTCAGATTTATTCATATGAACAAAAATGTTTACCTTGAAGATATTTGTCGACAACCAAATAATCAAACTTTGAGTTTTGAAAACCATAACCACGTTTACATGAGATTATTGTTCGAAAATAAGCTATAAAATGCAAAAACAACATTGACACAAAAAGAATAATCAAGAACTTACAACACGTTCGCGGTGCAACATTGTCGAACAACTAAAATGATATAGATATTTGCCAATACTTCTTTGAATATGTTCATACCTTTATGACAATGTCGAAAGAAAATTTGTTGTTGATTTGTAGACCAAAAAAACATTTTGCAGGTAAACCTGAAATAACAAGTGTTATACAAAAATTTTAATGTACCTCTTTTGATTATCGCAAATGAAAGAGCACATAGAAAAAACCTATAAGTCGAAAATATTAGCTTTCTTTTATCTTTTGGACTAAATAAAACTATTATGCGCATATTTTTTGGATATTATTTTAGATACATCTTGTGCAGCTTTTCTCACTCTATCTTTATAGGTTTTTACATGCTCTTTCATTTTCGATAATCAAAACGGTAGGTCAAAAAATTTACTTGAAAAATATGAAGTAAGTTGTGCTTGTTTTTGTTCAAGTGTTTGTCGAATTTGTTGTAGTTCAATGTCTTTTTGTTGCAATATTTGTTGAATTTCTTCGGGTTCTTTTAACATATCATCTACGTGATCAGTAAAGCCTTCCATTTCTTCTTCGTTGACGACGATTGGTCTTGGTGCTGGAGCTGCAAATGGTGAAATAGACGAGCTCATACTATCCTAAAAAAATTGTTAGAATAGAAAACATTTCCTATTAAAGTGAACCATTTTTCAGAAGAGTATGTGTCATCTTTTTATGGATATGTATAGATACTTTTCGACAGAGTTACTTAGGAAGCCTCGTCTCAATAGACCAATCATTTGGTTTAAAAATCAATTCTCATCGAAACGACGAGTTGACTACCAAGAGGCTCAGCGAAAAGTCTAAATAATATGTATGATTTTTAAAAGAAAATAGTCTTGAAAAAAAAGAACTATATCTTTGAAATCATAGCTGAATTACATAGACACACGGATACGAAAACGATGAACGTGTTGTTACATTTTCTCATAATTTTTTGACGAATTGCTAGGAAGTCACCGGGAACTTTAAGTGTTTATCTTCACTTGCTGAAAATAGAAACTCTCTACGAATATCTTATAGAACTACCAGTGAGTTCCAGCGAATTTCACGTTTTTAGAGACTCTTCCTGTGCCGCGTTTTCAATGATTTCTGTTTTCTATTTTTCCGTTCACATTATCATCAGAATAGATACTATGAACTTTTGTTACGTACGTGCAAAAAAGAAACGAAAAAAACCTCTTGACGATTCAGATAAATTATGCATTTAGAATTAAAAATGTCATATAAAAAAATTACTCACGCAAGGAATACCGTGTGATATACACATCGTGACTGATGCAGATCGTTAGAAAAGAAAAATGAACAGCAACAGGG